CACGTATAAACTTTAAATGCTACCAGTAAAATGTGTTTTTGTTACGACCGCTCCAAGTTTTTGGAAGCTTTTTTGCTTATTCAAAATCTTTAATGTCATCCACCATTTTTTGGATAAGTTCGATTCAATGCTTCGAAGCCATTTTTTTTGTTTGGTAAGATTATTAGATTTTTCAAGACAATCGAGTGCCTAAATCATAAAATATATTTATATACCAGTAAACATGAAAATATAGTGATAATAAAAAAAAATTTTTTATACTTCATGAAGAGTTTTTTTGTACATTCTTAAAATTTCAGATTCGGATTCACTATCTTCAGTACTCGATTCCTCATTATATATGTTTTCACATTAAATTATCTTGTGCATGATTAATTAAAGTTGGTCGAATATTTTCCCATAAAGTTTCCTTAGCTTCCAAAATAAAAGGATACTGAAAGGGCGGAAACGCGGACTACCCAATCACCACCGAAAAACACACAACCAGCCCACAATATACCCAATGGGTAGAGGCGGTTACGATTTGGCAAGGTAAGGTTAAATCAGGTATATTATGGGTAACAAGAACGACTTTTTATGCAAACAGTCTCTGTTCCTTATTAAGGGCAAAACAAGCCCGTTTTATACAGTTTTACATGGGGGGAGAAGACAAAAAAAACAGAATCGAATTCGTTTTCGAATCTAATCTAAGACCGCAAGCCCCCACTGCCTCGTTTAACCATTTTAGGCGATGCTTGGTTAATGTTTTGAACCAGTGAGCATCCCATGGTTCTTTTCCTGACGCCTCATCCGGGGAGTGCATTGTTCCGTAGTCTTGGGGCCATCTTGATAACGTTGTTATCGTGATGCGACCACGATATCTTGGTGGTTCTTTAGCGATTTCCTTATCATCTTGGGGCTGGTCCAGGCTTGGCTTGGCTTGGCTTGTTTGAGGGGCTTTGGGGGGAAAACTGATTCCTCCCGATTTTCTGCTGATTTCGTGGGCTCCGATTCGGGTCTTTTGTCATGGTTTTAGGCCTCGTGACGTTGAATTCGGCGTAGTGGGTTTCGTCGGTTTTGCCGTTAACAGCACCTAAATTAAAATAAGAAAAAAAAAATAATATACCTTTCGAAAAAATGATGAATTAACAAAGGTGTTTGCATAATAAAAATATGTTTTTTTTCATCCTTCTTTCAAGTTCACAGCGACAGTTACACCAATAGGTAAATGGAGTCTTGATTTGTTTATTATCGTATTTTTTATGGTACTGTATAACCATAATGAACTTGCAAAAACTTCTTCGGTGTCATTTACTTCTAATTCATTAATTATCCAACCATAGCTATCTCAAGATTCATATGCATATTGATTTCTTCTTCAACATCCATAAGCTTTTCATAAACTATAAACTATATGTTTAACCTCTTGAGATTTTACAGCATTTTCTTTTTGCTTGCAAATATCACCACAAAATTTGATCTTCACGTCTTTCATTTATACAGTTTGAACACAAGTTTTTTGATTACTTTGAAAATGCAATAATGGGTTTTATAGTTCGAAGAAATGAACAAAGTTTTGAATGAATTTTCCATTTTACGATAATCAAAAAAAAATTTCAACGTAAATAGTTATTCTTATTATTACGTAAATTATATTATTATTATTATTATTATTATTATTATTAATCAAATGTCGTCATTATTGTATCAATTATTAAATTTAATGTCGGAAAACCCGATTACGTACATGATTTTGGTGGCCATTTACTGCGCCGCTGCCCATTGTTTAGTAATAAAATTTTAATATAATATGAATCAAAAACGACACTTATTGGATGGCCGGTATTTACTATGTGTCGTTTTAGCCCTGGTGGCGATACTAGGTGGATACGTTAACTCGTGATTATCCCTGGTCTGCCGTGTAACAAAAATTATATTAAGATCTATTTTTTTTTTTAACTGGTTTAATATTTTTTGACCAAAGAAAGATGCACATCGATATGAATATAACAAAATTTACTATTGATAAAACGCGTCTGTTACCAATTCTCACAAAAAAGCTTAGTTCTGATACTCAACCAAAAGCATCAAAAACTTTATCTAATCGTCAATTATTTCGACAAATACTACCATCTCATGATACGTTACGTGAAATTGAAGCACTTAAATTAGGAAAACCTCGAAAACGTAAAGCATTTGGAAAAAAATTAAGCATTATTGAAAAGAAAAAATTAGGACATAGACTTGGAGATTTGACACTTGAACAAGAGGAATATTTAGAAGTATATAAATCATCAATGACAATTCTAAATAATTACAAAGATTTTTATTAAGTATTAATTATTATTGTATTATATTTGATTATAAAAGTTACCACATTTATCATTTTTTGCTGGTGCCAAAATTCCATCGTCATTTCCACCTGAGAGAGTTCAAGAATTATGTTTCGTTGGTAAGCGATTAATAAACATAATAAATAGGTTTAAAAAAATAAAATTTTAATAATTTAAAAATTTATAACGGTGTTAAAATGATTATTTATTATAGGACGATCCAATGTGGGTAAATCATCTTTAATCAATGCACTAGCTGATACTACAGTAGTTAGAACATCGGATAAACCAGGATTAACGCAACAGATCAATTTTTATGCTGCTGGTAATATGTTTAATATGGTTGATATGCCTGGATATGGATTTGCATATGTTAAAGATGAAGAAAGACTCAAATGGAAAGAATTGGTTCGTTATGATTATAATTTTAATTTAATATTATATAAATATAAAAAAAAATCCTTATTTTTTTTTAAAGAATAGATAGAAACTTATATATCAAAAAGAAAAACTTTGAAAAGGATTTTTGTAATAGTTGATGCACGGCATGGTTATTATTATATTTTTATTATTTCCTGGTTTGCTATTAATAGAATAATGCACTTTATGTATTAAATTTATTTTTTGATAAACAGGTCTTAAAATAGCGGACAAAGAGTTCATTTCAATGCTCGATAGGTTACTAATTTATTTTGATCTATTCTTTTTTTTCATTCTGTATTAATTTTATTTTTTTCTTTTGTTTAAAAACTAATTTTATAACCAGAAAGAATATAGAGTTTCAGATAATTTTAACAAAATGTGATATGGTGATCGCGCCAGATCTTGCACGTCGACATTCTCTTGTTAAGGAACAACTTCAAGTTTATAAAAATGCAATAACTCAGCCTATGATGGTATCGGCTCGAAGAAAAGCAGGAATTTACAAATTAAGAAAATTGATATTAACTATAGCAGGAGGATTGAATAGAGCAAGAGAGGTTGCAAACAAAAAAAAGGCACAAAGAATTGCAGATGTTTCTAATAAATCTAAGGCGCCATTAAGTAAGATACTAAAAAAGTCTATAGATAGAAAAACGCCAAGGTATTATTATGAAAAGAGAAAACATGAAAGAAAGTCATCGAAAAAGAAATGATATTATAATTGTGTAAATTCAAAAAAAGAAAACATATATATATATTATTACTAATAATACTGTAGTTTGAGATAGTAAAATAAATAAAGTTTATAAAGCTTCTATATGTTAACCATTAATTCTAATTTCTAACCAGGGGGGTAAACTGGGGTTATCTGAACCCCGGCTTAAACAAGCTCTCTGATTACATCTGCTTTAATATCTCACAATTTCTTGATTACTTGGAAAACTTCATAATCCTCTAAATTATGAGTACCTCGTAAAACATTTGTAACTCTTGAATAAGAAGAATCACTAAGACTGCGTATTTGATTGTTATTAAGCAAAATATCTTGAAGACCAAATCCTATGCAAGTGGTTGGATTATAATAAATAGCTTTTTGAGAATCCACAACTCGAAAAAGATGATTAGAATTAGAATTATTAGGAAAGGAGAATATAAAGCTATCCTGTGAAGCCAACCAACTTTCATTATGGCGTACATTTAAACCAGGTTTAAAATCAATCGGACAATAACCACCAATTATTTGACCATTTTGACGAGTTTTTGTAATAATCAAGATAGGACCTTTATTATCACATAAATTATGAAATTTATCGGATGACAAACCGTCTCGAGAAGCACGAAGTAAAAGTGAGAAAGAGTAAGGAAGATTTCTTTTTTCAAAATAATTTGAATCTTGTTTTTCTATCCAACTTGTAATAATTGAAAAATGTTTTTGATTAATGATTAAAGAATTAAATAATGGTAAACTTTGTAAACATCTTGGTGGTAAAGATTTTGAAATAGATTCATCATTAGGATCAAGATGAAAACCTATAATAGCCCATAAAAGATCTTTAGGAAAATTTTTTTGTAAGGAATAACGTTATGCCAAAATGAGTTAGAAGAAATTTCAAGCCATTTAATTAATGAAATTAAATCTTGAAGTAAATCTTTTAATAAAGAAATATCTTGTGAAGACCATTTAGATAAATCATTTACAGTAAAAGTATTTGGTATTTGAGCAGCACCCCATTTTAACATATAATTCCAAATTTCAATATCATCCAGTTTTAAATCATCACGTTCAAGAAGAAGAAGAAAAATAGATTTATCCAAAGATAGAAAATCTTTAGAATTAAAAAGGATTTCAGGAGATTCACTAATTGTTTTAAGACAAAGATCTCTAAATTTTGAACAAGGTTCATATTTAAAAATAATTTGAAGTATTTGACCGGGATCCTTTCTTAAGAATTCAGCATGTTTACGAATCAAGTGATTATCGACACGATTTAAAAGACTATCTAAATATAATTCATCAGCAGCAATCAATACTTGTAAGACTATAGTTCCATCTAACGAATCAAAGTTGATGACTCCTGTATATAAATACCTAAAATTAGTTAGTTAGATTAGTTAGATTAGTTAGATTAGTTAAATTAGTGATAGCGTTTTATCTGCTACGTACGTACAGTGTGTGCGTGCGTGCATATGTATGTACGTACGTACAATATAATTGATACGTAAATAGTTACAGAATTAAATATATGAAATTATATACTTTAATAGCAATTGAAATATCTTTGGTGAGACATTTGGTTTTTCGAGAATGGTAACATTTCCATCTTTTCGTGCCCAATTATCTGATAGAGCAGTACGAAAATATTGTGATCGTGTAATTAGGATGAGTGCATGTACACGAAATTCCTGAACATCATTTTCATCTCCTGCTTTAATGATTACATCGTAATTCTGCTCTTTAATAAGAAGTTGATCGAAATCATTTGATAATTCGAGTAAAGAATCGGAAGAATCGATTGACATTTTTTTTTATGCATATACGGTATTAACTCTTTTTTTTTTTTTTATCGTTATTTATTAAGTTTAGATTTTTACTACGCATTTTTAATCGACATATGCATTATTCAAATTTAGAAATTTAATTTCTGCGGCATATGTTTTATTACGTATGTACGTACGTAACTGGTAATCATTATCGTTATTATTCAGCATATAATCAGCATATATTGCATATATAGAAAGCGATGAAAGAAAGCGGAGAAATCTAAAAAGAGATGATTTATTATGATTTATATGATTTATTATGATTTATTATGATTCATGAATTTTACCTTTTGTTAAAATTTTTCGATAAGGATCTAATCTTTCAAATCTTTCAAATATCCTTCCTTAGTTAACGTTTAATGGCAAATATACTTGCCTCATTTATCATTTATTAATGTACTATAGAAAGTACAAGGGTTTACAATTAATATACTCTTTTATGGAGAAAAGCACAAAGGGTTACCCTTACGGGAAAATTTTTAATATATTGTAACAAAGTTTATTATATTCATATATCCAACTACAGTTAACAACATTTTTCTAACATATGCGCATTTAAGGAGGTGAATATCCTAAAGCTTATATTGATATCGATATGGTATAAAGTACATTGTTACGTACTACGTATATTACATATCAGATATATTAGGTATAAATATTTTTAGTTAGTCTCCCAAGTTAATTTTAAAAAACAAGTTTCATAAAATAGAAAAAGTATCTTTGATTTAATGAATCTGACACATTTTAATTTGAGTTTATTTCTATTAAAATTTACGAATTTTTTTAAATAAATAAATAAATAGGAGAATCAGGGGAATCAGGAGAATCAGGAGACACTATAGATATACATATACTTGTTTCATTAACCTATAGACATATAATGTTCAGTCTAACGAATCTTGGCGGCATCAATAAAATTTCACTAACGTTAATAAATTATATGATAGTTATCGATATTGCTTAACGTTAATAAATACCAGCGAACTTGATAATTCTATACGCAGTTGAACTTACTGCGTTGAATTAACATTTATATTTAAAAAAAAATTATACCAGATACGTAAGTACGTACGTACGTATGCAAAATAATCTATATAATTGACAAGTATATATTATAATAATCATTATTCATCTAATATAGAATTCATAATTTATTAAAATCACACGATAGCCGATTTTTATGTAACAAATAGACCTGCATTTAACATACAACATTACAGTAACTTACTTTTTTAATCTCGTGTAACTATTTTTGATTATTCGATTCTATTTTTAAAACGCACTGCAAAAAATACTTGAATACTGATACAATGTGATGCTTTGTTTGACATCTTAAACTATTATTAACGTTAAACACTATAAAAAAAAATTGCCAATCTAAAAATAAAATCCTTGTTGACCGAAACTTCTATTTTGATATAATTATAAACCAAAAAGTGGGGATAGCATAAACACATGACCCTTAAAAGCCTAAAAATTTTATATAAAAAGCTTTAATTCAGCTAATCAATATTTAGATCTATTATATTACATATAAAAAAAAAGATGCCTTCGGTTTTCTTAACAGATCTTTCAAACGATTTGGGTTATATTCTCGAAAATTGCACTAATCAGGATGTTATAATACAAGCGGGAAAAGGAAATGAAATGAAAGAGTTTAAAGCTCATTCAGTTATTCTAAGTGCAAGATGTCCTTATTTTCGAGCCACTATTTGTAGTAATTGGACTCATAAAGAAGGAGGCTTCATCATTTTTAGAGAACCCGCAATCTCCCCTCATATTTTTCAAATAATACTCAAGTAATTATTTTATGTTTATTTATTTATTCTATTTAATAATATCACTTCATAATCTTTATTTTTATCACTTCATCAAATTAATTTCTACCTTTTTTTTTTTTTTTTTAATTAGATATATGTATACCGCATATATCGATCTTGATACTCCTTCTGGTCCAGATATACTCCAAATCCTGATAGCTGCTGAAGAATTATGGTTGCAAAACTTAATAAATTATATACAAGACTATTTAATTGAAAAGAAGTCTTGTTTCCTTCGCACTTTTGCCGCGCACGTTCTTGAAACTATACTTCATTTGGAATCTTGTACGACACTTCAAAATTATTGCTTAGAAGTAATATGTGAACATTCGTATATTTTATTCGGCACTCAAAAATATCTTTGGTTAGATAAATCTGTCTTATTCTTATTACTTAGTTGTGATGATCTTGGTGTAAAGGAAATTGATATTTGGAAATATTTAATCTTATGGGGTTTATCAAGGATAAAATCTAAGAGCAAATTTATAAAAAAAGATATAATGACTGGTGAAATAATTCCTTTAAAAAGTTTGTCAGGTTTATCATCAGAAATGATAGTTGAATTAAAATCTATTTTGGATCAATTTATTCCATTAATTAGATGGTTTGATCTTTCTGCAAATGAATTCTTTCAAGATGTTTACCCTTTCGAAAAAATTTTACCTAAATCAATCTTTCAGGATATTTTACGTCATCACATGAATTCATCTACCTTTAATTCTAATTTAACTTTGAATAGATCAATGCAAAATTTACCACTTTTAGATTCTATTATCATAGATCAAAATCACGTTAACACAATAGCAAGTTGGGTAGATAAAAAAGATTATAATTATTACGAAAATCGACGTCCTCCTTACAAATTATCTCTATTATTAAGAGCAAGCAGAGATGGTTTTAGTGCTGACACATTTCATAAATTATGTGATAAGAAAGGTCCTACAATAGTAATTTCAAAAGTATTTCAAACTGGTCAAATAATAGGTGCTTTTACTCCAATCAATTTCGAACAAGGATTTCCAATAAGATGTAACGATAGTTGGCTAAGTACGACTGATAGTTTCATATTTTCTTTCAAGAATAATCAACAAATTAATGCTAATAATGTTAGCATAGCGAGAGTGGCTGATAAACATAAAGCAATTTATTATAATTCAAATTTTGGTCCGGGATGGGGTGGAATTGATTTAATATTTATTAATAATCAAGCTAGAAGTAACGGATTTAAAACTTATCCAGGTATTAGAAGTTTTATCAACGCAATTAATAAGATTGATGATTATGAGGTGTTTCAAATTACGAAAACATAGCATTATTTTAATTATGCCTTTTTTTTTAAAAAAAAAAATATTATATAAAAAAAAAGTAGTAAATGTATATGCATTAAAAAAAATTTTCATAATTTTAACCTTTATATATTACGTAATATTAATTAGATTATTTCATTTCCTTATTATTATAGATAAATGATATAGAAAGTCATTAATTATATACCATTTATATCGATATATACTATTTACAACTACTATTAACTATATACTATTAACTACTATATACTATTAACTACTATTAACTACTATTAGCAACTATTAGCTACTATTAGCTACTATTCGCAACACATATAGTTTATATCATTTTCATATTTACTGTATTTAAAGATAACGAACCATGTATATATAGTGAATTGTTTTCTAAATAACTAGTTCAAGCTATCTCTCTTAGATTTTGTTTAAATTAATATATATATATAATAAAAAAAGTAAATAATATTTATTGTATACGTAAATAAATAGCTATCGCTATATATTGTATCATCGTTCCGTATATGTATTTTTTTTGATTTGTTTTATGATAAATTTCATTTTAATTCAATGAAATTTAGATTATTAATTAAATCAAAACTTTAGGACTCTAAATAACGGTAGCTTACAGGATTAGTATATGCCGTAAAATTTCGAGATAACGAATACAATGCGTCCATCTGCAATAATGAGAGGTCAATTTTCTGGGCCTGATTATTACTATATATAAATCTACTAATTTCAAATTCATTATATGAAATGCATTTTTTACTTTGGAACGCCAATGAACATTTTTATTTGTTTTGTTTTGAATTTGCTATTTTTAAACATTCTAGTTTTTGAAATAATTCTGTCATTTCAATATTTTACAATAATATGTATATGCAGTTCGAGATTTTACGCTATGTATATGTAATCAAGAGAATAAGCCACATAAAATATTTTATACAAAAAATATTTTACCGACGCGACAAACGGAAAAACTTAAATGCTGTAAGTATATTTACTGTAGTTTCGGAGTTAAGTTAATAGATTTCGGATTTTAATTTATTGTATATATATATATATTCATTCTATGCCAAGATTTTTTTTTTTTATATTTTTTTTTTTTTAGCCACATTCGAAGAACTTGTTTTCTATTAATACATTTGACATCATGTGGATGACGCCTAATTCCTTAAAATAAATTAGAATCTTTACACTTGTAGACTCCATTTTCACAATTGAATTTATCGTGAAAACTCTTCACGGCTGTCACGTGACCAAGATCGTTAATTCCCTTAACGGTTGAATTGTGGGTATACTAATGTATTAAGACACGAGTACTGGATTTTATTTAGATATAAGGTGATCTGAATGATGATTTTATTGAAGCGAAAGGTAAGCCTTTAATTTAATACATATTATGATACACATAAATAGTTTACACTATCCAACTATCGGGTTTTCTTAGGTCCGTTATTTACTTTACACACACTTCGACCCTTCACCACTAACCCTTTTTCCCTCTATTTTGTATTCATTAGAATAATTTCCTCCTGTGCAGTCATCTTGAACAACAATTTAAATCAGAACCAATAATCGCGTTTTTAGAACACCTGCGATTTATAATAATTGATCACTTTTGTTTATCCGCACTATTACCTTAAATCTATTCTGGAAGGCCTTACCCGATATACGGTTATAAATACAACTTCTAAGTGGTTACTTCCACTTAGTAATTGAGGCAGTGTAGCTATTTCCATTTGTATAAGGTCTAATCCGTGTTTAAAGTATCGAACGACTTTTACCTCACGCGTCAGTTTCTATGTTTGTATAGATAACTATATTTGGTAATAAATTGCTATGTATGAAAGATATAAAATAGGTAATACAAAAATAAAAATAAAATGTGTTATACAGTTAAGGGTTTGAAAGTACAGAAGTAACAAGGCTTATCGTTATCGAACACTGCATTAGGGTGTCCAGAATTATGCGAAAGCATAATATGCGCATAATTTGCTATTTTTCGCTTCGCATAATTGAGGGAAAAAGGTATAAAATGCACGTGGGTGAGATGTGATTGGTGGAAGAGGTGTTTGATTCGAGGTAGGACCGTCCATGTTACACAGACGATCCAATTGATAAAAAAATTTTTTTTATACGTTTTACAATACTTTTTTCGGAAGCTCGGGTACTTTAACTCCTTGGTTAAGGGGATAAAACGTACTAAGTAAACTTAAAGTTTTCGCTCTGCCCTACAACATATTCGCTGAATCCATCTGAATCCACCAACTTTTATATTACACTTCACCTGTTGAAGTTATAAGTAATTAACAATCACTACGTCGACAAAATCTCATTTTAAACAAGAAAAAAGGTAAAAAAAACTCAATATAGCGATTAATAATGATAGTATAGGAGAAAAAAATTAGTTTCTGTTTTTTTTTTTTATTATACGTGTTGTATAGAAATCCTTTAGAAAATTGAACGTATACGAATAATATTAATTAACTATACTGTTTATTATATAATATTATTATCTTCAATATAATTAATTAGTAATTATAATAGTACTTATTTAATAGAATTAATTGAAATAAACATTGCAATCAATATTTGAGCAGTCTTTTTATTATTTGTCAAAAATAAAAAAAAATAAAAAATAAAAAAAACTCAAAGTAAAAAAAGACAATATCAAAAATATTTTGATGAAGTATCAACTTCAGCAGCCTCTGTTGCTCTGTTTATTAACTTTACCAATTATAATAGATTATTCCAACAACAATATCCTGCCTCTATTTTTTATAAATCTATTAGTTGCAAATAAAGCTGCTATTGAGATATTTATATATTATTTAATAATATTTTCTTATTTTTATTTTTTTTTGTCAAAGGCTGTCTCCTAGTTTTTTTATTATTCATAAAAATGTTTAGTGTGAGAAGTAAAATAATAATTCATTACTAAATGTTATGATCTATGACAATGTTACTTGTATAGTTTTTTTGAAAAGTCAATTAATTGTAAAATTTAAAAAGGAGGTTTGATGTAAAAAGTTTGTTAATTTAAATGACACATTTATTTCAATCTTTTTTATTAATAAAAATATCATATTTACATAATAAGCTTTATCAATTATACATATTCATTTTAATGATAAACACACTTGACTAATTTTAACTTTTTTGCTAAATAAATTTTATTTCCCAACACTTTTTGTACTATTGATTAAGGCTCTTGAGAACACCCTGTATCTTGCTTAATTGTTCATTAAAATGGTAACTCATTTGGTTAATTTATATAATTCTTTGACTAATTAAAAAATTTACTTCCAATTCATTGAATAAAGTGCTTGAAAACACTCTTACTCAGAACAGCAATATTATTAAATTTTCATCTATATGTTTATTTGATCGATTAGTTTGTACTGTATGAAAGAATATTCTTGTTAATTAATAAATCTTAACAAGAAATATTTAAAAAAAACTCCCAGCATATGAGTAGGCATAAAACTTGTTTATTAATTAAATTAATAAAAGATCTTCTATATACTTTATCTTTGTTACATAATATTTTCTTATAATTAAATTCTATTAGCTAGCTATATTAAAAAAAAAATTTTCTAAATTCTATTTTACCAACCCAGCCAGGATATGAAAATCAATTAATTTAATTTGCATGGCCTAATTGTAAATTTTTGTAAATTTATACTTGTGTAAAAACTTGCGAAAGTTTATATCTATTTATTTTTGCTAATATATCTACAAGTAGTTTCTATATATAAAAATCAAAATTCTACTAAGTAAAATGATAAAAGTTAGTTAATAAAAGTTGTTTTGAAAAAGTTTCAAGCAAATTGGAGAACATTTTACTAAAATATTTTGCATTTTATATTTAAACATAAAATATAAAAAACATTTTAGTAAAAAGTTTTCTGATTTATATAAAACTTTTAATATATATATATTTTTATTCTTAAACAACTTTTTATTAAGCACCTTTTATTAATTTACTTAGTAGAATTTTGATCTTTATATATAAAAACTACTTGCAGATATTAAAAAATTAATAAAAATTAACTTTATTTGAAAATAAACTACTCTATAATTTTTGTATAACTTCTTTGCCAAAAAAGAGTAGCTTATTTTCAGAAATATATAGTATGTATAAATTTTATTTATTATTATTATTTTTTAATATTGAGGTGACCACTTAGGCCCCTAGCACTTTATTAGTTCAAATGGGTGGGCCGTCCGAAGACTGGCT